TCGTGGTCAACCTGTCGTCCACCAGCACATCCAGGTCCCTCTCCACAGAGCTGCTCTCCAGCAGGTCCGCCCCAAGCCTGTACTGGTGCATGGGGTTGTTCCTCCCCAGGTGCAGGACCCTGCACTTGCCCTTGTTGAAGGGCTCAGGGCCTTTGCTCACCCATCACCAAGAGCAAATCCTGAGCTACAGCAATCCCAAGGAGGCACACACATAACCCAGGAGCAGCCCTTGGGGCCTTTTGCGGCTGGAAAGGACTTTTCCAGCAACTGATAATGTTGGTTCACACAGAAAACCAGCTGCAATAGCACTGGTATGTGGTCCCAGGGCTGGAAGTGCTACAGAGAAGACGTGCAGTGAAGGCAGAACGGCTTACGTCTCACACGGAGCCTCTCACTGGAGACCGAGGTCTTCACCTCCTGTGTTACGGGGTTGTAAGCAGCACATTTATAAGTCCCCTCATCCTCTTGGCTGGCATTGACGATCTGAAGGTTCCCGGATGGCATGATAAGGTAATTGTCTGCAGGGAGAGAAGAGGAGGTGGCACATGGTTACAAGACATGTCCTCCCTCTGGAAGAAACGCAGTGCCCTGGAGAAAAGGTGGACAAATGGGGAGGGAAAAAACGACACGGTAACAGTGACAGCACTGAAATGACCCCACTTGGTTCAAATATCAGGGAAGCAACGACACAATGGTGGGAGACACAGAGCCTCAGGTGAAGCTAGCTGGTCACAGGTACAGGCAGCAGGTGGAGTGAGGCTGCAAAATTCAGACCCAAATTTTAAAACTTCCCCAAATTCAAAAGTCGCCTTTATCCAGGCTGGGTTAAAGGAGCACTTCACAGACATATGGAGATACCCAACGAAGAGCGAGGTGGTGCATCACCTAGTTCTACTTTCCTTCCTCTCCCGCAGCTGGTGTTACACACGGGTCGCTAGTGCCAGGCAGTGGAGACATCAGGGAGACCTGGCAAAGACCCTAAACTAACCTGTGCTCAGACCGGTGGCGAAGGGACAAGGACGCAGCAGGCAGAGAAAGCTCTTGCTGTTGGGGAAGGGCATAACAGGGTCCTGGGAGGGGACCCAGCGGGACAGACCCCTGTGGCACCCACCTCGGGAGGCCTCGAGCCACTCCTGCTTCACGCTGTAGCGGACCTGAGCCTTGGGGTGACTTTCGGGCAGGTCGCAGGCGATCACAGCTGTGTTCCCTTCGTCCACCTCGATCACATGCTGGCCGTCGAACTTGAAATCTTTGAGATCTGCAGAGAGAGCGAACGACAGGGCACCTCAGTGGCTGGCTCAGCATCTGGCTGTCAGCTCACCCTCTCCCTGTGGACCCGGGCCTGTTTCGCTGCGGTGCCGGCAGAGGACCACTCCGTCCCCAGCAGGCAGAGAGGCTGGCCTGGTTTCAGAGCTTTATTTTTCTTCTCCTCCTCCTTCCTACAAAACGGATAACTTCAAACACAGCTTCTGGAGAAAACGCTTGCTCCACAGCTGAGAAACTGGGTGTGAAAAATCCTGGCCTGAGAGTTAAAAAAGAGCCAACTTACTACAGCACTGAAGGGCGGCCAAAAACGGTCCTTCTGCCACCTGCTACGTCAAATACGGCTGCGACCTGCTATCAAGTAGCTAACTTCTGAAGTCATAGCTCAGGGAGCTCAGCCTGCTTCAAGGGTGCACAGATGCCGGGTGACACGGTGGGAGCAGGCGTGTGAATGCTGGACGCTCCCAGAGCTGCCCTGAGCTCCTTCAGTGCCGCAGCAACCAGTGCCTCCATCCCGGGCTCTCGCTCCCATCACGTGTCTCACAGCCGAAGGCTGGCTCACCACGAGGCCTCGCGTGTGCCCAAGCCCCAGGTCAGAGAGCAGAGACTGGCAAGGAAAAGCAGCCCCCCCTCTGCGTGGCACAGCTGCCCCCTCCCTAAAGCAGCCGTGCAGACATCCCTTGCCACTGAGCTTCCCGGAGATGACACCAGTCCTGTCTGTCTCTGGGCACGATGGCAAATCTGTCTGGGGCGCCGCAAGCCCAAAGTTTGTCTCAGTCCAGCTGTGCTGGGAGGGAGAGGGTTTTGTGCCCGGAAAAAAGCCCTGCGCATGCATTTCTACGGTGCCGTGCACCAGTCCAGGCAACCATGAGTGACTGACAGCTCCGCACCCTGCATGTCGCCACGCCACGCCGTCACACCAAGGCTCGCGCCGGCCCTTCGTCCCCAGGACCCAGCGCTAACACCCGTCTGCTCAGCGAGCGGCACGCCGCTACGCCCGGGGGAGACCGTGCTCCCTTTCCGAAACCCCACGTCAAGGCCTCGCGTCGCATCCCGTGGCACGGCGCGGCGTGGCCGCATGCTGTCATCAGCTCCCTTGCCCCCCAAAACCCATCCCGGGACACGGCGCCTGTGACCCCAGGCCGTTGGGAGAGCTGGGGGGAGCCGGAGGGCTGGCGGCGGGCGG